GCAAATGCGCAATGTCACTCTCTCCCAGGGCGCCGGCCGGGAAAAGCACCAGGAGGGGAGCGGGGGCGGGGAGATCGAAAAGGCCCGACCCGGCCAGGGCGGGGCCCATCCACGGCTTCCGACCATCCAAATAGCCTCCCTCCCCCTCCCCCTGCACGACCCTCGCACGCGCTGCCCCTGCCGTTTGTCTCCCGCTCCTCGCCCCCCCCCCCCCCCCCTGCCCTCCGGCCGTCCGCACGAACCCGCCCCCTTGCCGTTTCTCCCCCCCTCCCCTGTCCTCCGCACGCCAACATGTCTCGCGGCAGCAGCGCCGGCTATGACCGTCACATCACCATTTTCAGTCCCGAGGGCCGCCTCTACCAAGTGGGTACGTCGAGAGAAGCCCCCCTCCCTCCTCCCGGCGTGGACTTGCTGCGCACATCCCGGGCCCCCTTCGACTGACTGACTGACCCCGGCCGGCTGCGTGCCTCTCTTCGCGTTTTTTCCCCCCCCCCCCCCCCCTCCGTCGCAGAGTACGCCTTCAAGGCCATCACCTCGGCCGCGCCGTTGACCGCTCTGGCGGTCACATCCAACTCCTGCGCGGTGCTGGTGTCGCAGCGCAAGATCCCCGAGCGCTTCGTCGACCCGACCTCCGTGTCGCACATCCACTCGGTGTCGCGCGGTGTGGGCTGCATCACGCTCGGCCGCACGGGCGACTGCGTGGCCCAGCTGGCCCGCATGCGCGAGGAGGCCGCCCACTCGGAGTACAAGCTCGGCATGCCGATGGGGGCCGATGTGCTGGCCCAGCGCATGGCCTCCCTGGCGCAGGTGTACACCCAGCAGGCGTACATGCGCCCCCTGGCCGTGGCCACCCTGCTGGTGGCGGCCGATGATGAGCGTGGCCCGCTGGTCTTCCGCGTGGATCCGGCCGGCCATGCGGTGGGCTTCCGGGCGGTGGCCATCGGCCAGCGCGCCCAGGAGGCCATGTCCGCCCTGGAGAAGCGTTACAAGGCCACCCGGACCACGACGCTGGCCGATGCCGGCGATGGGGACATCGACCCGGCCGACGCCATCGACGCCTCGACCATCGCCAACATGGATGTCAATGCCACCATCGATGTGCGTCCCTGCCCCCTCCCCCATGCGCGCGTGCTTGTTTGCTCCCTCTTTCTCTCTCTCTCTCTCTCCCTCATTCGACACCTGGGCCGGCTCCCCTGCTCGCCCCTGGGCCCCGGCGATGACGCGGGCCGGTAATGACCTCACACTCACGCACCATGCACCTTCGCCTCCTCCCTCCCTCTATCTCTCTCTCTCTCTCTTTGTCGCCCGGTCGCGCCATCTACCGTGCGCGTGTTCTCTGGCCACCGTCGGCGGCATGTCACTTGGCGGACGGCGCCCCCTCCCCCCCCCCTCCTGCGCACAGCTGGCTCTGTCTGTCCTGCAGCAGGTTCTCGGCATGGACCTGACGACCGAGGACTTTGAGGTTGGCGTGGCCGAGGTCGGCGACAACATCCCCTTCCGCAAGCTCGACTGCTCCGAGCGCGAGGAGGCCATCCGCCGCATCCAGGAGGCCGACTAAGCCCCACCAGCCCGTTCATCATTGTCCGATCCCTCGCCCGGCCTGCCGGCCTTTGACCTTGTTTCTCGCCGCATGTGCGCGCCGGGGAGCTCCTCCTTTGTCTTTCCCTTTTCCTGGCGTGTTTGGCCCCCTCGCCCTCCCCTGCCTCCGGGTCGCGCCCATTTTCACACCCATCCCCCTGTACAAATATGATAACCCCTCAAAGATGCCAGGCCTCCGGTGGAGAGCCCCGTGCGATTGGGCTCCGCCGTGTACACGCGCCCGCACAAGCCAGAGAACGGGAGAGAGAGAGAGAGAGGGTGTCTGCATTGTCGCCTCCATCGCAAGCGGGGAAACGGGGGCGAACGGGAGACCGACAGAGAGAGAGAGAGAGAGAGAGAGAGAGAGACAGAGAGACAGGGAGGAAGAAAGGGCGAAACTAGATCGTCGGGTGGAAGGGGAAGGGGGGAAATACAATGGGCACAAGGACAGGGAAGAACATGGGGAGAAGAAGGGAAGATGGCATCGGATCAGGGCCGGCTCGCGCCCGAGCTGGGCCCGGGCACGCCGGCCGGCACCGCGACTCCCACCGTGGCCGGGGTCGGCGCACTGGCGGAAGGGGAAGATGCGGCAGCCGCCGGAGCCGGGGAACTCTGCGACGAGGAGGAGGCGGCCGCCGGCGCGGGCTGCGGCGCAGCCGTGATGGGAGGAGAGGACGGCGGGGAGGACACAACGGGAGCCGAAGCAGAGGAGGGGACAACGACTGCGGCCGGCGTCGGGGCAACCCCAGACGAAGGTCTCATGGCAAGAGCCGCAGGAGTGGCAGCAGGAGTGGCAGCAGGAGTGGCAGCAGGAGTGGCAGCAGGAGTGGCAGCAGGAGTGGTAGCAGGAGTGATGACAGGGGCCGCAGCAGCAACCGCAGCAGGAGCCACCACAGAAGCCACCACAGGAGCCACCACAGGAGCCACCACAGGAGCCGCAGACGAAGTCGCCACCGGGGCAAAGGCCGCCTTGCCAGTGCTCGGCCCAGGGGCAGGGCCGGCCCCGGTCGCCGGGGCAGCAGGCACAGCCACCACAGAGGGAGACGTCGCCGACGCGGCCGGGGCCGGGCCAGACACGGCCGAGGACACGGCCGAGGACACGGCCGAAGCAGATGCGCCGGAGGACACGGCCACCGGGGCCGAGGCGCCGCCGGTGGCCGCCTTGCCGGCGCTAGAAGGGCCGGAGGCCACCGGACGCGCGGCCCCGCCCGGCATCGCCGGCATCGCCGTGGCCGACAGGCTCCCACTGATGGACTGATGGGTGCCGGCCGGGATCATCAGCGAGGACTTGAGCGACACCCCGCCGGCCGAGGAGAGGGACTTGCCCGAGCCGCCGGCCGAGCTGGCCGAGGCTGCTCCCGGCGGCCGAGCCAGGCTGCCACCAGCAGCCGCAGCCGCGGTCGTGGCCTTGGCCGCCTTTTTGGAGGACTTGCCACTGGCCGAGGCACCAGACCCGCCGGAGGCACCGCCACCGGCACCGCCACCACCACCACCGCTGGGGGTGGTCTTCTTCTCGCGCTGCTGCTCGGCCCGCTCGCCGCGCTGGACCACGCGCATGGTGCCGGACTTGTGGCACCGTGCGCACTCGAAGCGCGAGGCTTCATCCTTGCGGGGAACATAGTCGCAGGAGTTGCACCGGGTCCGGTACTTCTGGAAGCGAATGCCACAAGCATTGCACAGCAGACAGTCCGTGGTCCAGCCATCCCGCCAGTAGGGCGTCCGAGTGGTCTGGCAGGCGGCACACTTCTTGGACAGGTGCGCATGCCGGGCCAGGGCCCCCTCCGGGTCGTCGGCATCCGCCCCGAGCAAAAGCAGGGCATCGCCCCCGAGCATGTCCCCCATGGACCCGGGCGGAAGGTTGTCCCCGGTCCGGCGGGCCTTCCCCCCGGGCGGCGGGGTGCTCAGGCTGCCAGTGGCCGAGGTCCGGCGCCCGGCGCCAGACCCGGCGGCCCCGCCGGCGGCGCGCGCACGCTTCCGTGCCAGGGCACCCTCCGGCCCGTCGGCCGCGGCCCCCCCTTCGCCGGGGGCCGTCGTGCCGTCGGCGCGCCGGTGGCGCTTCTTTTCCTTGCGCTCGCCGGCCTTGCCGGAACCGGTGGACGTCGCACCGCCGGCGGTGGTCGACGTGCCGCCAGCCCCGCCGGCCTGGGGCTTGCGAGCACCGGCGGCCGCGCCGCCCGTGGCCGCTGCTGACGCTGACGCCCCGGAGGAGGACCCCTGCTTGCCGGCACCGGGGCCCGGCTTGCGGGCCTTGCCGCCGGCCAAGCCGCCCGTCGCCGACCCAGGCCCCGGGCGCGGTTGCTGCTGCTGCTGCTGCTGCTCGACAAGCCCGGCCTCCGGGGCGTCCTCCCCGAACAGGGGGAAGCCACCGGGCGCCGGGTGTTGGTGGGCCTGCAAATGGTGCGCACTCGCCATGTAGGGCCCACCAGTGCCCGGGGCACTGAGAGACGGACGCCGGCCGGGCCCGGCGAACAAATGGCCCCCGCTGGAGTGGTGCAGGTGATGCCGGGCCCCGGTGGCCAGGAGGTCCGCCCCGAGGGTGGGGGCCATGACGATGCCCAGGCCGCCGGTGCCACCGGCCCCGGGGGCCGAGGAGGAGGACGCCGCACCGCCGGCCCCGGCGCCGCCGACGCCGCTGCCCCCGGCCGACCCCTCCACCAGGGTGGGATGATGGGCCAGGGCACTGGCATGCATGCCACCGGCACTGGACAGCAACGAGGCCGACAGATCGCTGGCCAGCTGCAAGCCGCGCGGGGCCGACCCGGCCCCAAGCCCCAGAGGACCATTGATGCCGAAGAACCCCAGCACATCGGAGACACTGTTGCGCCGGCGCGCGGCGAAGGCCACCGGCGAGTAGGGGGTCAGCCGGGCGGAACCGGCGTCATCGGACTCGGCCGGAGCCGCGCCATCACGCGACACGGCCCCCGGCCGCGACCCAGTCGAGGGGCCCGGCCCGTGCCCCGGGCCCAGATGCCCGGCCGCATGGGCCGAGCCCCCGGTGGCCGGGGGCTGCCCGGCGGTCCCCGGGCCGCCAGGGCGCCGGGCCCCGCCGCCAGCCTGCATGTAGCCCCGGCCGCCGCCGGCGCTCGGGTGATGTGGCGTCCGGAAGGGGGACCCCGGCTCGGGGTCCGAATCGTCGGCCGCCGAATCGTCAAACCCACTGCCGGACACACCGTCGCTGTCGGCGCCGGCGTCCCCGTCGAAGACCGCGGCCAGGGCCCGGCGCCGGGACTCGCCATCCACACCGGCCCGCCGCCGGAGGGTGGTGCTGCTTGGCTGCTTGCCGGCGGAGTCCAGCCCGGTCGACGGCCCGGGCCCGGGGCCACCATTGCCGGGGGCCGCGTCGGCCATGCCCGGCGAGGGGGGCGTCCCCGGCGTGCGCCCGGCCACCAGCGACGACGATGAGGATGACCCGCAGCCGGACCCCTCCGAGGGGGTGGACTTGGCGGGCTCAAACCACCGGTACTGCCGGAGGAAGGTCGATGGGTCGGCCGGGGCCCGGGCCGCTGGCAGTTGCATCCGCCGGATCTGATCCTCCAGGTAGAGCTGATTGCTCCGGCGCAGGGCCAGCAGGTGGTGTGCCGAGGTGGCATGAGCCGGCTGGGGAGGGTGCCCCGGCTCCAGGGCGGCCTCGGTCGGGCTCAGCTCCCCCGAGACCGGCGGATGCTGCTCGGGGCCGGGTGACCCGGCCGTGCTCTCCGGCCAGTCGACCATGTCCGCATCGGCCGGGCTGCTGCCGGCGAAGTGCAACATGAAGGAGGCGCCCTTGGCGCTGGTGCCGGAGGCGCCGGCCGGTCCCTCGGCACCGGATGACCGCGATGACCCGGGGCCCAAGCCACCCGGGGCGTTGGCCGCGAGGTGACTCCTCCTCCGGGCATGAGGGCCATCGTCACCGCCATCATCATCGCCATCATCATCATCATCGGAGGAAGAGGAGGAGGAGGAGTCCGGCGAGTGGGAGGTCGTGACGCGGAAGCTGCCGGCCGCGTCGGCCGCCCGTGGGAGCGGCCCATTTTGCGGCGACACGGCCGCCGACAGCGGTGGCGACCCGAAGAGGCTGGCGGCCCGGTTGGCCGGAAGGCCACCGAGGACCGGCGACCGCAGGGGCAGGGCCGACTTCCGACGATTGCTGCCCGATCCAGCCCGGGCGCCTTCTCGGCGGGGGGCGATGCCCAGGGGCCGGCTGGCGGCCGAGCGATCCAACGACGGGCTGGCCGGGGGGGAGACCAGCCCGTGCGAGGAGGCACGCGCTTCGCCATCCGCCCCCCCGGGCGAGGGGGGAGCCGGCGACCCGGCTGCCATTGCCGGCGAGGAGGGTGCCGACCGCAGGTCCGAGGGGGATCCGGCCCCGAGGGTCCGACGCACCGGGGAGACCTTCAGATCGGCGCCGCAATCCAGCGGCGGCGAGCCGCGAGCCCCCAAAGGAGCTTTGGACACCGAGCCGTCCCCGGCCGCCGGAGACCGGGGGGCCGAGGTGCTGGGTGTGGCGAGCGCCGGGACCGACATACGTGTCGGGGCGGCGAGGGGAATGCCTGGGAGGAGGGTGTTTCCTCCCGATCTGGAGAGGGGGGAGGGGGGGGGGGGG